ACGGTCATCTAAGGAGGGTGCAACTGTGGTGTAAAGATAATGTCATGATCAAGATTCAGTTTTGGGTGGATTGACTTTTTAAAAATTAACTTAAAAAAAAATATTTTGATGAGTCAACAATTTTTTCATACTAATCCTGATGATTTGTCTTTCTTGCAAGTTTTAAACATTGTGAGACTAGTCACCATCCCACACCCCTAGTAGACGTGTATTGCAAGTTCTGATATAAGGAGGCATAGGAGCTTCAAGATGCTTTGTTGCAACTCATTCACACCTATTGAACAAGAACCTCCAGTCCTTTTGTGCTCGTCAGGAAGTGTAGTTCATTGGGGAATACCTACTTCACCAGGATGAGATGCAGCACTGCTAGTATTACAGCTAGTATATCAGGACAGCAGAGATGAGATTCCTAAGGGGAGGGAAGGTGTACAGATATTTATGGTGTGCCACACATGTAGTATTCAATGTCCAATGTACCTAGAAGCAAAGGTTCCAGTATTCTGTGCCTATAAAAAGATTGTGTATATATGTTGGTAATCAGCTGTAGACACACTTCCCTGCATATACGCATTTGTGACTAAATGCAATGAATATTCTAAAAGCAATGACATTTCTTGGCTTACAAAATAATATGCCAGAGAGGTGGAGCTATGCTTTCAGTTTTACATTGCCCTATGAACACTTGATAAAGTGTTAGAACATGTTTCTGGACACATTAGCCTTTGTGGAAAGATTACCTTTTTGTTTTGCCAATCAATGCAACCATTTTTTGAGGAAACATTTTTATGACAATGCAGCCTCCCCATGTTAAGGCAACATGCCTGAGAGAAGTCTTTATATATCTTAGCAAGGCGGAGAACTGCATACTCTCAAGGCTTTTAGTGTACAAAATGTATGCATCTGGCAGGTGAAAAGTGCAGATACTCAAGATGACATAGCTGTATAGAAACAAATTCCCTTTTTTACTGTTGAAAAAAAATAGGCTTTTAAGTCTCTAGTGATCCAAACAGTGCTCCAAGTACACTAAATATGCTGGTATTTTGAAATACTTAAGATATAAATATAGAGAACATTTGTATATATTGCAGTATAAAAGTGCAGTGCTACTTGGTAGCAAAAAGGGAAGATCATCTGAGTGTCAGTTTCATAGTGAAAATAATATCACAAGATTTTGACAGGACAGATAATGACCCAGACATATTGATAGCAATTTTAAATTCAGCATGGCACAAAAATCACTACTGTATTGGAATGACCAGGTGAATAACTTAAATATTGCAATGCATTGCAGTTCTGAAAAATCCAAAATGTTTTAAACTACTAACCTGAAAAGAATTTAAAGCTGAACTCTGGGATAAGCAAATATTGTGTATTCTTAGTTGAATTGTGGTGTGTTTTCTGTAGTTCTTCCAGATCAGTGAAGTAATCCAGGGTAAATCTTTTCCTCTGTGCAGGAACTTTCTGTAATAAGGAGTAGTCACAGCTGCTCCCTTTCTTTGTGCAGGGTGCCTGGTCTTGTATTCTGCCCCCTACTGTAGTTTTCAGCAGGCAGCCCATATTGGGTGGGCCTGTGGGCCCCCTACCACAGCTCTGCTCTCTGCACAGGCTATGCAAACCACAGTGATAAAGTTACTGCTACTGTTACAAGATAACAACTGGGTTTGTGAAGGCTTCTGCTGCATGCAAAGTAAATTTATGTCCTCCGTGGCTTTTGAGGAATATATTAAAATTAAAGATTTTGTGCCCAGAGTTCAACATTAAAGATTAGAGGGGGGAAAAAAAGGAATGGGAAGCGTGAAAAACATGGCTACCAGTCTAAAGAATAGTTTCCCTTTACTGGCTTGAGTAAGGACCAAAACACTGACTACTATCTGTAGGGGCAATTAGGGTCACACACCTGGATAGTAGGTTGGGCACCAGGGCTTTAGATTAAGTACAATTGGGTCATGAACCTTTGTGAAGGTTTAGCATGCTCTACAATGTCTTGCGGAATACATGAAAATGTATCTTTACTCCAAACTTTTTTGTTTTTTTTAGCTTTGGATAAAATGGAAATTCTGCAACAGGGAAACAGACAATAACTAACAGATGTTCTAGCATTTTTAACCTAAATTAAAAAAGCATTTTTACTTCTGTCTGTGTTGTCCTAGGGACAACTTTTTTTTTTTTTTCACAGCGAGAAACTGAAGGTATCTCACCAACAGAGCCTCCAACGGCACTAACACCTGAAAGGAGTTTGAATCCTTACCTACTCTATCCAAAACGTAAAAAAAGTTTTGAGTAAAGATACACTTTAACTATACATCATTTAAAGTTTCATCAAACATTGGATAAAGGAAGAAAATCTTAATATTAAAAAAGGAAGTGCTAAAGCAGAAGGACTGAAGCTAAAGAGCACCTGAGGCCTATATACTGTGGAGGCAATCATTTTGTTGGCAATGGCCACACCACATAACTGTTCCACTTCCGAATATTTGGTCTTGTGCATTTGACAATTTCCTGTATCATGATGAGGTTCTGTACTCTCAAAACCATGATCCATAGTCTTGGATTTCATACTCATCTGCACCTTTTGCATTCAGATGCATGGATTTCTTCTTTAACTGAGAAGATGGATTTAATTTGTTAGTGCAAGGACCAGTATGCACAATTCTAGAAGTTGGAAGAGGGTGAATGGGGTATCCAATTTTTATTTGAAGAAAAAAAAAGCCATTTGTGGACTCCCAGTTTTCTTGGAACTCTTAATTTCCCAATGACTAGTACATGTGCTAAGAGAGAAGGGTTCTCTCCTATTGTTTCCAGGTTTAACCTAAACTCAAAGCTATAATTTTATATATCCAATTGCTGATGGAATATATAATTGCAAAACATTGATATAACAATTCCATATGGAAATAATTGTATTTTACGATTCCACCAAATATCTGCAAAACAGGTGACCTGCTGTTATATAATAGATTGTAGACAAACAAAACCCCCAGGCAGAGGCTTTACATTTTCCTTCTTTTGGTATATCTCCTTCAAAAGGCAGATTACCTCAGTTTAACCACCAAGATTTGTGCCGCCACAGTGCATATCTATCTATACATATATTTTAACAAATAAAATAAAACAATAGGTTTCAGCAGGATAATATGGGGGAAAATGACTTCAGCAGTACTTTTAAGTACAAATGTTTGGCTATTTTCATGTAACCAACCAAAATATCCTTTCTTCATAAATGAAAATATAGATTTTCTATCTGTATGTGGTAAACAGAGAAGCATTTCATTTTACCTGAGGTTTGCTTTGAAGAGCTTACCATGTTTCTTAGTGGAACATATGGAATAGCCACCAAAATACTGCACATAAGACCCTAGAACATTTCCCCTTTGATGAAAAGACAATGCGAGCTGCATTTTAGAACGGCATGTCTCATAAAAAGTGGGAACACTGTGCCATCCATAGTAATGAATGGAAATCTGTGTAGTACCGTTGCGCAGAGTACAAACCATATGCACAAAATGGTCATCTGAAAATATTTCTTTCCTGTTTTAGGTGCAACACAAAAAGCACTTATCTGGCTGAGGGGCCAAAGTGTGTTTATAAGTGCGGTCATCGTGAAAGTGCAATGATTTGGCATCTAAACTGCACCTGTCATCCATCCACAGTAAAGGCTAACAAAAATTCAGTATTACTAGTTACTTATTTAGCCAAACTGAGAGTATGTATTTCTTTGACCCCGTAGCCCATGCAACAAATTGACTGTTACTACTGTGTATGGCATACAGGTACTCTAAGTCAGGTCGTAAGTATGCCACCAAGTATTTAAAGCAATCCTGTCAGATCAAATTACAATCATAATAGCCAGTACCCTGAAACAGAGATTTTATATTTACCTCTCCGACGGCCTGTGTCTCCTACCTTAAGCATTTAGCACTTCCAACGGTGTCGGATGCTTGTGTTTCCCGCTGTGGGTTGGGGTTCCTGCATCACTACAGGACACAGCAGTGATGTAGGGTTTAGAGGAAGAAACCATGGAGCATGGCTGGGGTCACTCCAGGAACTGTTGAAATCTGAAGAGACTGATGGAGGTTTCAGTACTGGAAGGAAGGGAAGACTGGGACATGGGCCATCTGGGGGGTGAGCATAGGAACTCTTAAAAAGCTGGAGACAGGCCTTCAGGGCTGTTTTTTACCCTGACAGGGATGCTTTAAGGCCTTTTTTCTGAATAAGTGAAATCAGTATACAAGCTTATTCTGTATAGCAGTGTAAAGTGCATTAATTCAGGCTGTATTCTGAAGTCAGATTATATAAGAGATGGTTACTGTTTGGTTGCTAGAAGTTAATGCAGTTTGCAAAATTCTGCAGTATTGTTTTGTTGAATAAGCCATTACTTATCCATTGTTCCACCAAAAGCAGTAATTTTAAATCAGCATTACCCAGAATACTCATCACTTACTGCAGTTTTAGGATAGCAACACAATGGAAAGTGCAGAATGTCTTTATGACATCATCTCCTAGCAATCCAGTTCAAATATACAGGGTGGGAGTTACTTAATTCCAAAATATTTTAAGTGCTAACTAGCTTGGAAAATTATACTGAATAACTTACAATAATATACTATTAAATTCAGCAACACAGCAAAGCAGTAATTTCTGCATAAACAGTGGGGTGGGAAGCATGCTTGGTCAGACCAAATTGGAGTGTCTATAACTTAAGCATGTCTTTAAAGCAAGTAAGAATGATCTAGGAGGTTGTACTACTTCATGCCATGTCATTAGGAACTTAACTGTAGAACCAAATAAAACTGGACCGAATATGTGAAGAGAGCCTAAAAATTTCAGTCACGGAAAAATAAACATATTCCTGCAAAAAAAAGAAAAAGGCATTCAGAGTCTACAATCTTCTCTGCCTATATATGTGGGTAACGAGGGTTTAACAGCAGTCCAGTATAACACCTTGTTAATAAAGCAGTCCTCTCTTGAGTGTGCTTCTCTAAGGAAACAACACTCTAATGTAACAAATTCACACTAATCCAGAGTCTTTGGCCATGTTGTAGAAAAATCCTTTCTTCTGAAGAAGGTTGCTTGGAGAATTAAACTCTGCAATTTGGCCTCTATCCAGAACCATCACCCTAAACAGAGAAACAGGAAGGACAAACTCAGTAATTAAACCTATTAACATAGTATCTGCCAGAAGTGGCCAAATCAATGAACAAAATTGGAGCTAATCCATTCAATGTAGGATCTCATATAAAACCTTTAAAGTGTACATGGACCCCAACAATACACTTCTCTTCTTTGCACCCATTTGGTCTGTTAGATATACAATTGAAAGCTTTATATCACATTCTAAAATGTGAAAAAATAAAAAATACCTGTCGACCAGACATCCAGTGCTATATCATGCTCACTGTGCATTGTTATAAGCCCTGCTATGTTTACCTTTGTAGACTACATAACACCTCTTGCCAAGTTATGGAGAAGGGGAGGTGTTTTGTAGTCCCAATTTTGTAAGATGACAATGCTGCTACTCCACAGATAACAATACAGTGAGTATCTTCAATCTATTACAGGAAGTGTGTTACTGTAAAGATATCCAGGTGAAAAAAGCATATAAAAAAAATTAAAAAAGTAATCCAGTTTTAACATCCAAGGAATGGTCAATTGCAACATATTACTTTTTTTCTTTTTAGATACATGCATGTAAAGTTTTAGTGCTAATCAATCTTATCACTAACTATTGATTTATTTTATGTACTTATGCCATCGGGTATTTTATTTGTTTTCAACTATAGTTTGTCAATGATACAAAAATGAAAATGTGGAAAAAAAAAAAAGGGAGGAAGAATGTATACCTTGTGTAATCCATGATGGTATTTAGCCGATGAGCAATGGTTATAACTGTACAATCTTCAAATTCTTTTCTGATAGTTGACTGAATAAGCCCATCAGTCTCTAAGTCCACAGCTGCTGTGGCTTCATCTAAAACCAGGATTTTGGTCTTCCGAAGAAGTGCTCGTGCCAGACACACAAGTTGACGTTGGCCAACGCTGTAAACCAGACAAATTTTAAGACGTGCATAGAAATATTACTCTTCCTTAGATTTTTTTTATATTTTTTTCAGAAGTAAATGCAATACTTACAGCTTTGTGAAAAAGAAAGTAAGAAAGTACACCTCTGAATTCTATGCTATTACATATCGGGACATAATAAAACTCTGAAACTACGTCAGTGTCACTGTGATATGTAAAACCATAGAATTCAAAGAGGGTGTACTTTCTTGTTCACACAACTGTAGTTACAAAGGTGTGTTTTCAGCAGACGATCAATACATTTTATAGCTTATCATCTTATGAATTAACTTGGAAGTAAGCTACAAAATGTTTTCCAAAAACTCCAGTACTGTTTCTAATACAATACAAATCCGAATTGGATTCAAAGGTGGCACAAAGGAATATATCCTTTCAATCCTAATATGACTAACAGGTCAGACTTGATTTTTAGCAGAGCTATTGTTACCACAGGCCATATAATTATACAGATATTCTGCAGACCACAAATGCTACTCCAATGCCATAGAAATGTCACATAAATGTTATAGAAAATTTGTATTACAAACTCTATTACTTTTAGGTTTATGCAAAAAGCTCACCTAGGCAAATAAAAATAGAAACTTTGCTAAACAAGTAAGCCCCTACAAATACAGACTTAGCATAGGATCAACTAGTGTCCTATTACACAGAAAATAAAACAAACCCAGCCACTAAAATCCCTCTGGCTTCTCCCGCCCACCAAGTGCACAACTGTACAGGAGCTTGTTCATACTCTTAGCATATTTAATAAAAGACAAAGTAACAGGTAAAACTCCAAAGTATCCCAATCACATATACATTTGTTCAAGAACACAACATTCACTCCGCCAAGACTCCACCCTCTCTAATATGTCTCACCCAAAACGGCTTAATCAAAGAGATAAGGGAGAGCGCATGGGTAAGACATTTAGGTATAATAAAGTTTACCACTTGGGCAAAAGTTCTTAAGAATAAATTTACAAATACATACACCTCCAACGTAACCGTTTCTCTCTTCGATAGAGATGTTAATCTGTTTAGTCTAAATGCTATTTACAAAAACTAAACAAGGACTCCCTACCCTAAAACACTGGATGTAATAAGGGTGGGACATTCACATGCACAGTAATAAAGGCACCGCAGTAAAGCAAAAAGGAAGGTAGGGAGGAGAAGGGAAAAGGAAGGGGGAGAAGAATCCTGTCCTGTTGCATTGTAAAAAATGTGGATAGATTTTCTGTTTAGATATTTTAGTGATTGTGGGAGATCTTCCTTGTTATAGACCAAGTGGTGAATGATACACAGGTAGAAACCCCCCTCTCACCTGAGATTTTCTCCACCCTCTGCACACTCATGGTTCAGCTTGTCAGGAAGACCTGAAACAAAGTTCTTAAGATGAGCAAGCTCCAGAGCAGACCAGATCTCTTCATCTGTGTACTTTTCAAAGGGATCAAGGTTCATGCGGAGTGATCCCGAAAACAAGACTGGGTCCTGTAGAACGGGATGTAAAAAAAAGCATTTTTCAATTTAAAACACAACTGACAGAATTTTTAAAAGCTGCAGAAAACCTCTTCAATTAGTTTACAAGACACTACACCGTATTGTCACAATTTAGTGTTTAGTAGTGAATGAAAAAGTAAATTTTTATTAAAACAGGAGCAATAATTTTTTTAGTATTTGACTTTAACTGTGTCAAATTGCTTTTGCTTCATTTATGTCTTTGTTCATGGGTGTCAACAGTAATACATGACTATCAAATCCTAATATGCAAAAGGGAAATAGGATGGAATATATTTGTCCTTCCCAAATCCATTCAAGGTTTTCTAAACACAGGATTTCAAACAAAGCTTATTATGGAATATTCAATAATTAAGCTACAACAGTAGTTTCCCAGGTCTAGCTGTTCAATAATATTTTAAAATTCTTTCAGAATGGGCGGGATTATCAGATCCTACATTCTAAGTAGACAAACAATAAAAGTCTTTGGACAATTAGTTAAAACACGCAACACAACCTCACTTTATGAACATAGCCTTTCAAAATAAATGTTCAACATTTCAAAGATGCCTATACAGCTTATTTATTCTGAGAAGCCATGCTATGAATAACCATACCTGAGGAATAATTGTTAACTTAAATCGAAGGTCATGCAGACCAATTTTGGCTATGTTGCATCCATCTATAATAATTTCTCCAGAATCAGCCTCGTTAATACGAAACAGTCCTAGGGTGAGAGATGACTTTCCAGCTCCTGTTCTTCCAACAATCCCGATCTACAGATTTAAAAAACAAAGAAAAAGTGAAGTAGAGGAAACTCTTAAAAACCTAGATATTGGATATACACATTAGTATTATCTATAGCTTTTATGTAAAAAAAGGTTCCTTTAAAACTGTACCAGTAAGGAAAAAAGTTAGGATTTAAACCTACCTTACCCACGACTTCTGTCCCCCCAGCCCCTAGGTGAGGGTGATGTTACACTCCTTCTGGCGAGATCCTGGGGAATTCAGAGGAGCCCAAATCTGTAGAAAAGATGCTCTTGGACTGGAATGTCTCGAGAGATTTTGGGTATTCATTCCCCAGGAATCCAGCTGGAAGGAAAGTAGTGTCTACATCCTGCAATGCAGAGGATGGGGTTAAAGTAAGTATACTTCTTTCTTTACCTTCCTTAAACTACCTATATTGCAACAATTTTCACCAGGGAAAAGGGGGGGGGGGGCGGCAGATCTGAAGTGGACCTTGCATTTTACTGCAATATCTGCCTTAAAAAGTCAAATCACTGGTTCCCTACACAAGCATGCAGCGTTATTGTCAGCTACATGTGGTTCTGCACCTCTTCTTTGCAAATGTATAATCTGGACTGGCACCCCAAGTTTGCTGCATGTGGTCGGAATTGATGCAATTAAATCATTGCCACTACGCCTGATAACTTTAAAGCTACACGTTGTGCCTATGGTTAATATTTACACTAAGAAAGAGCACTCCGACTTCTTGATCAGAAGATCTGTTGTTATAAAAATGCAGGAGAAGCCTGACAGTACTCCCCCTTTCTATGTGCAGGCTACTCTGCTGCTCCCCCGCTCAATCCAAGGAGCAGGAACATATTTTTAAAAACCCCGAAATATCTTGTTTGCAAATAATTCACTGGCCATATCATAGATATCATAGTGATATGAGCATGATGGTAACGTATTTTATAGTAAAGCAATGTAACTGATCTATATAGCATTTAAAGGGAAAAGTATAGGGGGGCGTGGCAGGTATGTGAAGGAGACCAGATGTTTGTGTGTGAGCTCAGGCTCCCTTACCTTGTTCCATCCGCTGTCTCCTGAGAGGGGACATTCTTACCGACATACTCGTTGGGGAAGCAGGACCTGGTTGCCGCTGTAGTATGCCCTCGAAATCGGGCAAGAAATCCTCCACGCCGAGACAACAGCGCCGCAGCCGCAACACGTGTCCCTCGCCGGCCATCTTGTCCGAATCCCCTACTACACGCTGGACTTTGGTGAGTGCACAGGCTGCAGACATGGATGGGGACTTGCTGGTGGATCAGGGGGGGCTGGCCCCATCGCCCCCACGGGAGTCTGGGCAACAGTCAGGCCTGCAAACGGAGACTATATTGACTGCCATTGAGGCGAGTAGGGTGGCACTCACTACGAAAATCGACCACCTTGCGGTCGAATGCACCCTCATTGGCGGGGACCTTGACAAATTTAGGGGGCGCCTTTCTGAGGCTGAGACCAGAGTGTTGGGCCTGGAAGACACAGTGACTGAACTCTCTGCCTCCATATCTGAATTGCAACGCATAGTGCATACATTATCCGCCAGGACGGAGAATGCTGAGAATAGGATGCGCAGGAATAACATCCGCATCATAGGCCTGCCTGAGGGAGCAGAGGAAGTACGGCCGGTGCAGTTTGCTGAATCCCTATTCAAGAAGGTGCTGGGTGTGGAGTAGGTCCCGGCCACTTTCGTGGTGGAAAGGGCGCACAGGGTACCTGCGGGTCGCCCACCTCCAGGGGCCCCGCCGCGACCCTTTCTAACCAGATTGCTGAATTACAGGGACAGAGACTCTGTGCTGGCTGCGGCCCGCAATTTTCCTGCTCTGCATCATGAAAACACTGTGATCAGGCTATTCCCGGATTTTTCGGCAGATGTGCAGAAGCGCAGACGCTCCTTCCAAGATGTCAGGCACCGCCTCAGGGTAAAAAGGATTACAATACAGTATGCTATTCCCCAGTAAACTGAGGATTCAACATGAAGACACGGTTCAGTTTTTTGACAATCCTGCTGCAGCAGCGAACTGGCTGGACAGGCTGCACTAGAGATGTACTGTTGGATTCCCTTGCCACCGGCATCCTTGCCTGGATGTCATTGAGATTGACTGCCTTTTCCTGATTGTGGCTTTTGACTTTTAGTTCTCCTCAGGGGGACCGTGGGAGGATGGGTGTATGGTCGCAGTGTGCCTTCTCATACTATTTGACTCCTTTGGGTTTTACAGTTTATTCATATCTCCTGGATTGAGTTACAGTTTAATGCCTTAATCCTAATGCTACAAAGCCCGTATTGTTCTGTACTGAGTCCCCTAATGCACTGTCGGTAAGGTGCGGGTAAACCGGAGTCACCACATGTGGGGTGATTGCTTGAAAGTGTTAGTGTCGGTTCAGTACTGACATAAGAAGTAGTGGTTGTCCTGGGTGACGCCCCCCCTTGGGCGCTGTCTTAGAACTTAGTTAGGGATCAAGCTTCTGTTATGTTGGGGATTTTGTTTAGCCGAAGAAAGCAGGGTGGGTTAGGGTGGGCAGGGGTTGTTTACACTGTTGAGCTGTGTAATTTCTGCATATACATCTGGTACATGTTGGCTATCTTGAGCCGGGCAGGGGCTATGAGAGATTACTGGACTCCTGACTTCCCGGGCCTCCGGGTGCTGGAATTAATGTGGGTAGACACGGGATGGCTGGTGCTCAGGTAAAAATTGTGTCCTGGAATGTGAGGGGTCTGAACCATAAGCTCAAGCGTTCTCTGACATTTCAAACCTTACAGGCCGCATATCATATTGTTGCAGGAGACGCATCTGGAGGGACAGAGAGTTCTGGCGTTGCGTCGCCCCTGGATCCAGAGGGCCTTTCACGCTACTCACTCGGTATACGCCCGAGGGGTATCAATTCTTATTAGTAAATCCTTGCCATGTACGATTGAACAGGTTCTGTTGGATCCGGGGGGCCGCTATGTTATTGTGGTTTTAGAATTACATACTCGGAGAATGGCTATTGTCAGCATTTATTTGCCCCCTCCGTTCCAGTTCCACCTGTTGTATGACATACTAGCCAAAGTGGCACCTTTTCTACCTATACCCATATAGTGTTTGCGGGAGATTTTAATGCTATCCTTGATCCGGAGCTGGACTCCTCGAATCCTAACAGGGCCCCAGGGCAGGGGCTGGTGGGGTGGGCGGAGGCTGCTTCCCT